CCCCAAAACCCCAAAACCCCAAAACCCCAAAACCCCAAAATCATGAACTATTTTTGAAAATTTAAAATGGCTTTCGATCCATTCAGCTTCAAAACTGGATATACCAAAAATTGGGGGTGGCTATACGCCCTTATTGTGCTAGTACCATTCTTGATGGTCCTTGCAATCACATTCTATGTGCTTTCTCTTCTGATCACTGATGAAGACCTGTATTATAAATAAGAAGAGTTATAATAATGAATACGTGTACTCTACACGAAGTTATGAGTTCAGCAACCTTGAGATGGTAGCAGAGGTCCTTCCTCATTCATTTCTAGCAGATGAAAATGATAGATATCTTCCTTTCAGGTTTGTCAACAACACCTATTTCAAAGATGTTACTTTTGATGATGGGGAGCAATCAAAGAGAGCAAGGTTTGAGGAGCTTTCATACCAGACTACTGATGATAAGAGCAATCTTCCACATTTAATATTCAAAAATGAATACGTACCCTTTGGGGATTCCAGATTCTTATGCCTAAATCTCAAATACAGATCAAAGGATGAGCCAGTTGCTCCTTATGATAAATTTAATGAGGTCCAGAATCTTCCTCAGTGTCACGGAATGAAACAGGAGATTTGGGGTGAGAAAGACCCTACTAAAGGAGTCAATCTCCTCGCATGGAAAGAATTCGGCAACCAAAAACTAAGCAACTGCAAAAATGGAATCATCAGAGATAAGATCTGCTACGAATATGCGGTCATGGAATCTATCTGAGTGATTGTTGAGCCGACTAATGATGACCCTTCTCAAGGCTGGGAGTTTGTCACTGGTTGAGAAGAAGGAGGAAGTACTATCAAATACAAAAAGGCTTCTCCGGGGCAAGAGTACACCTTTGATAATATCCCTATTGAAGTTAGAGCATATAGGGAACCATTCTATGAATTTGAGACTAGTTCTACTAATTTTGGAGCAGACTTATCATACTTCGGATGGCTATCTAGGATGTGCTGGGCTCTATGTCTAATTGCCTTTATTTGCCTCCTAATATTCGGATGATACAGACTCAATTTACCCAGCCACAAAGATGATTAATTTTAAATATTTTTCAATATTTCATTGAAATTATGGGGTTTTGGGGTTTTGGGGTTTTGGGGTTTTGGGGTTTTGGGG